GCGGCCGCTCATTCGACATTGCATCCAGATGTTGGAGGGCCTCTACGAAACTGCTACAGAGGAAGAGAGCTCGAAGCTTTATCTGACTGAGTTTGAGCCAGCCTTTCTCAAAACGAGTAAGGAATTCTACCAAGCAGAAGGGCAACGGTTGTTGGAAATGGGAGATGCTGCCACGTTTTGCCGACTCGCAACCCAGCGGATCACGGAAGAGGAGGAGCGATGCCGTTATATGCTGTCGGTCACGACCGAATCGAAGGTCCTTGAGTTGCTTGACGAGCAGCTAATCCGGAACAATATCGAAGAAGTCGTCAATCTCGAGGGAACCGGTGTCCGGCGCATGCTGGATCACGATCAGTTGGATGGGTTACAGAATGTTTACCTGCTCAATAAAAGAGTCGACAAGAAGAAGCAAGCTTTGACAAAACTGGTCAACACGCGGATTGTGGAAATGGGCAAAGAAATCAATGCTTCGTCTATACTCTTACCACAAGTCCCAGCCCCATCGGCAGACAAAGGAGAGAAAAAGCCTGAGAAGGGGAAAGATAAAGAAAAGCCTCAGAATCAGCAAACAGTGTCAGCAATCCGCTGGGTCGACGATATTCTCAGCCTTAAGCGGAAATTTGATGACATTTGGGAGCATGCCTTCGCCTCCGACCAGGGCATGCAAGGCTCAATTGGAGCCAGCTTTGCCAACTTCATCAACATGAACTCCCGGAACTCCGAATACCTGTCTCTTTTCTTCGATGAAAACTTGAAGAAGGGGATCAAGGGAAAGACAGAAAGCGAGGTAGACGTTCTCCTGGACAATGGCATCACACTGTTGCGCTACATTAAAGACAAGGATCTCTTTGAGACCTATTACAAGAAACATCTATCACGCCGTCTTTTGATGAAACGCTCTGTCAGCATGGATGCAGAGAGACAGATGATTTCCAAGATGAAGATGGAGGTCGGTAACCAATTCACTCAGCGCATTGAGTCCATGTTCAAGGATATGACCATCTCTGAAGATCTTACCACCAATTACAAGGAGCACATTGCGCGGACTGGTGATCCCGACCAGAAACCCGTGGACCTGGAGATCAACGTTCTCACCAGTACGATGTGGCCGATGGAAATCATGGCAAGCAGAGAGGGAACGGTCCAATTGCCTTGCATTTTCCCACGGGAGATCGATACACTGAAGCAAAGCTTTGAGAGGTTTTATCTCGATAAACACAGTGGCCGCAAACTGTCGTGGCAAGCTAGCATGGGCACTGGCGATATTCGGGCCACTTTCGTGCGCCCCAATGGCAAAGTCCAGCGTTATGAACTCAACGTGTCAACATACGCCATGGTCATTTTGTTATTATTCAACGACGTATCGGACGGTGAAGGTCTCACCTATGAGGAGATCAAAACTCGCACGCGGATCCAAGACCACGATCTAATCCGCAACTTGCAATCGCTCGCCGTTGCCCCGAAGACTCGGGTTTTGAAGAAGGATCCTATGACCAAGGACGTGAAACCCACCGACCGCTTTTTTTAACAATGAGTTCCACAGCCCCTTTGTGAAAGTGCGTATCGGAGTTGTCAGCGGCGGTGCGAACAAGGTCGAGAACCAAGACCAGCGCAAGGTCACGGAAAAGAAGATGAATGACGAGCGCAACGGTACCATAGAAGCTGCCATCGTCCGCATTATGAAGTATGTCTCTCTATATAACTCCCTTGTATATGATCTGACGAACTAATCTCTGGCAGACAACGTAAAACACTTACTCATTCTCAGTTAATGACTGAGACCCTTTCGCAGCTCTCAGCTCGCTTTGTTCCAGATGTGAACATGATCAAGCGTCGCATTGAGAGTCTGATTGATCGCGAATACCTGGAGCGAGTCTCCGAAGAACCACCCACATACGGGTATGTCGCATAAAGTCAGACCATCTCAGTTGATCATTGATCATGGCATCTGCCTTTTACCTGATATACTCATTTGCTCTGCTTCTTTCTTATGATTTTATGATCTGGGGTGTCCTCGCATCTCGGTATTTGCTTTTCAGGTTGTGCCTGCGTTTCTCTGAGCTTAGCGATTGGCGTCTTCAAGGGATTGAAAGAAATGAAACGATCATATAAAACCATCTTATTTGATGGAATGGAAACTGCCTTGGCAGGAAATGCATAGTATCTCTCAACAAGTCCCAATCGTAGAAATAAGAAAATATATCATAAAATCAACGCCCAAATAACACCGGCCCAGGAACCGCTACTCCGCTATGAAGAATGAAGTCGAAGATCAAACCCCAGTCCAAAAGACTCAAAAGAAAATCACAATAATTCCACCTCCCCTCTCCCCCACGCTCCCTTAACACCCTCCCACCTCACAACCCAAACATCCCCCATCCGCATTGTAACCCCCGTCTCATCCCCCTCCTCCTCTTCACCCGCAACAACAACAGGAACCTCTGCCCCAAGACACCGAACAAAAACGACCTCCTTCAACTCCGGCCCCTGGATCATACTCGTCCCACCGGCGTTATCATCCAACCGCCTCAATTGCCGCGGGAATGCCCCCATAAAAGACCCCGCGTAGTGGCCCGCCAGGAGCGTCTGGTGAGCATGCAGGAACGTCGATTCCGGCTCCGACAGCGGCGCCAGATCCGTCAGCGCTGATATATCCGGCACGGAGTCCTCGGGCTGCTGGTTCGGGTTCTGCGAAGAGGCTGTTGATTGTGTTTGCGATGCGAGTGGGTTTTTATTGCGCGAGGCTAGCAGGACAAGGTAGTGCATGCTGTATTTTGTTATTTTGGCTAGTCTGGCTCGTAAAAGACTGCGCACTGTGTATTGGGTGCGGGCGAGGTCTGTTTGGAGGATTGAGAGGCGGAGGTTGAGGTTGGGGTTGTGTGTGTTTGCGGTTGTTGGGAGGGTTGACTCTGACGAGGCGGCTAGGTCTTCGATTGTTTCAATCTGTAGGTGTGTATTAGCGATTTGGTTTTAGGTAGCATTGCTGTATAGCTGCTGTGTAGTTGCTGTGTACCTGTATCCGCACACGGTCCATTATGCGCTCCATCAGTGGCGCCGGCCACGGTAGTACCTCCGACACGGCGCGTTCGGCTACCCAGAAGCGCGTGAGCAGCTGGTGGTCCAGCGCTGCAGACTCCGGACTGGCGCCTGGGCCGTGGTCCACTGACGCGAGAATGTCGTCGATATCCATGGGCTTAGAGGTTGTCGCATTGAGGAAAATGCAGGGCGGAGCGCGATATATGGCGGAGATGGGGTGCCTGGGGCACAAATCAGCCCGCTATATCGAAATATCAATGATACATGTTCATGGATCTACTAGGCTAGTTTAGAATAATAAAGCTGTTAAATTGGTGAGTTCGACTGGCCCGATCTCAAAGCCTTTGCCAATTGGACATTCTGCTCTGGAACCGGGGGGATCTACAACTTACACGATAATCCAGTGAATGAATGAATGAACTAAAGCCAGTCAACTTCGAAAGCGCAATTCTAATTTGTATCATTTCAAATCCATTTGGCCGTTCAGGTTATATCATTAGAGAGAAGAATGTACGAGGGAACCCAGAACCCGATAACCCCAAGGCCCATTCTTTCGGGGATCACAGGCTGCAGGCCAAACGCTCGAACTCAACTGAACTTCACTTGAATGTGACATGGAAAACATGAGGAAGCATTAGAGTAATAAAAGAAAAAAAATCCACCCATGCGGGTATGCGATAAAATCAAAAAAAATCCATATTTCGCACCCAGTTGACAACGCCGTAAACCTAAACCATTAACTTCCGGCACATTTATCGAGAGAAATGCAATATCGGAAGACCTTCGAAGCCATGCTCATTAGGCTTTGGGGAAATGCGTATCTAGCCCTTGTTGCCGTTGGGCGGCGGGCCAGAGGGCGGCGCATAAGGTCCACTGGCACCGTACGCATTCGGAGGCTGCTGCAATTCGATACCTTGCTGCTGTGGTGGTGCGTTTTGTGCACCAAAGTAGCCGTGGTGTTGAGGGTTCGGGCTGTATTGAGGGGGCGCATTTTGCTGGTAGTAAGGGTCGCCGTAGGGGGGTTGCTGGTAAACGGGTTGGTTTGGCGGAGGAGGTCCCGGGGGAGGAGCCATCCACCCGGTTCCTGTAAGAGGGCGTTGGCCATGAGTTCTGCGGCGGCGTGCGTTGAAGCATCTGGGAACAAGGCTTGTTAGAATCCAGAATATGAGATCAGGGGGTAGGACTCACGCGAACCCAAAGAAAAGTAGGAAAGCTACACCGACGATTACAGCGAACGCTACCCAACGACCCCAAGAATCCCAGTTGGAATAACAATCATTGCTGTTATAGTAACTAGAACCAGAGCTGTGAGGGATTAGTGATATGTCTCTTGAACAGTGGTCATGGTACTCACCAATATCGAGGGTATATGACTGCCATGAGGGGCTGATTATTTGGGAAGAGATAAGTGTGAAGAAAAATCCGAAAACAGAGAGAGAAGAATGCTATTCCAAGGATGTGAGATGTTCGACGTCAATGGGGGCTGGTGAGAGCGGTGGGTCCTTGGCGGTTTAGGCTGCAGTTTGGGGGGTGAAGGTACTGTGACTTGTTTTTCCGCCTATTTTGTATGATGATATTGGTACCAGTACTTGCTTTGAACAAAAGGGAAAATTGGATGTTTATAGAAGAAAATTACAATAAAAAAGGACGAAGTAGAAGAGGAATCTTTATAAAAAGAAAAGAAAAGTGAAAGAATTTCTAATCAAATGGGCAGACTGGGTGGCGCAGTTCGGGGGGCTGACGAAGAGTATACGAAGAAACGAAGTATATTATATTTTTTTGTCTATTCTTCTATATTATTCTTAAATACGCACATGGCTGTGGTATTTTAATCTATAATTGTATATCTCTAGAGTGATGTACTTTCAAGCCTTAGGCTTGCGAAAAGTCGACCAATCTAGAATGCTCTAATGCAATCTGTATAATAAAGTTAGCAATGATATACTAAATTATGCAATGCCATCCTATTGACTAACCGGTGGAATGGGTGTCGGCACAGCCGGCAATGCGGTGATACTCGACCCGACTTCACTTCTCCGGTCCAAACTCGCCTCTCTCTCAGCCACCCCATTAGCGTCCTCATCGAGGGTCATTTGCACCGATAGAACATGAATCCGGGGCGACATGTCACACTTCGGTTTGAACGAGTAAGTAGGTAATACATCGAATGTCTCCTGTACCCAGGACATCTGCCTGTCCAGGTCCGGCCCGGAGAGGCTTGTGTTGTTGCCCTTATTTCCGAGGGTAGTAGAAGACTTGGTTCGGAAGACGCTGCTGGGCCAATCTTTCGTCTTGGCGATCGGGCGCGTACAGCACGCGTTCTTGGATACGCTATCCCAGGCTTCGACCACGCGGTCCGTCTTGAAGAACTGGGATATCTGTTCCTTCATGGTCTCTCGGCCATTTGTGAGTTGGTTGTGGGCCTCCTGTCGCGCTTTCGTAGGCGATTCGACCGTGGATTGGCCGGTTCGAGGGCGCGGGGTGGCGCAGAACGCCCGGAGTTGTTCTATGGAGATGTTGCGTGTGAGGCGTGAGGGCTGTGAAGGAGCTGTTTTCGGTCGAACTTGGGCCAAGTCGGGTTTCTCGCTGGCAGATCGTTTGGGGAGGAAGGGCTTGGAGAGCCTGTGTCTGAGCTTTCCGGGTGTGGATGGAATGGGAGGTGGTTCGTTGCTGGCGCCTGCGCCGGCTTCTGCTATTAGAGCACTGCATGATTTGGCCCGACTCATAATTTTACGGCGAATGCCATCGCTCGGGACGGGTTGATCTGCAGGGTCAAGTTTATCTTTAGTGGCAGGACTATCAAACTGCTTGGAAGCCGTCGGTGTCCTCTTTGGCTTCGATAATGGATCACGGGGAAGAGGTTTTTCTGATGTGGGCCGTTCTTTATCAAACAGTCTTTGTTTAATTGACTTGTTTCGACTTGCAGTCTTGCTGGTTTGTTTGATAAACGATCGCTGTGGTGGTTAGCGCTGTATTTGAAACCCAAGGCCTTGTGAACTCACCACATCCTTTCTACTCGCCACTCCAACTCGTCTTTGCATTTCTGTAGTCGCCAAGCCAAGTTGGGCCAGGGCCTTTTGAAGAGCACTGCCCCGTCGACGAAGTTTGGAGATAGCGACAATCCAGCCCTCCATATTGTCCATCATGGCTTGATGAAAAGCCTTGAGGCTCTCAGACTCGAAGCAACCCTCATCTGTAAGCTTCCGGAAGTAGAACCACAATGCGCCCATAGCCTCCTTTGCCTTTTGTAGGTCTTTGAGCGAGTCTGTGATGGCAAGGGTGAACCGGTCAATGGAATGTTCGATCTGATCATTATAGGCGACAACTGATAGCCGGAAATTTCGGTCTTGTAACATCTCATCGAAGACATCGAGGTTTCCCAGCGGTAGACTGAGATACTGAATTCGAGTGCGAACGTCTAGTCGGACGATCAAAAAGTCTTCGGTGGTCCTTTCCAAGTAGCCATCCAACTCATTCACGTGTTTCTGTAGAATCTTCATGACTGAGCCTTCGGATTTCGCCAGGCTCTTGGCTAGGAGGTGAACTCCGAAGACCATTTGGGAGACCAACTTCCAAAACGGATGATATCTATATGGTTGGGTTAGTTCGGTATCAAGTATGAGTATGAGTAGGTTGACTTCTCACTTTTCAGAGGCCCTTTGGCGCCATTTTCGCCCACAAAGCCGCTCGTATTCATCATTCTCTAATAGATCGCGCCGTCGGGTTTGCGCGTCAATGTCAACGACCCATTTAGTTCCTGAACCATCGGTCGTTTCCACAATTGATTCCTCAAACGGGCCCTGGAGCTGGGCAATCGGATGAGACGGGTAAGGACTGGATGTTTTTTCGGTGGCTATTTGCTCGTTCTCAATAGCCTCCTCGGGCGTGTGGGCGGGAGTCTCTGACGCAGAAGCCATGATCTGTCGAAGTATACGATAGTCTCCAAAGTTGAGATTGCACACTTTAGATATAACTCCCCAACGAGTTGCGAATTAGACTGCAATAATTTGAAAACTTTGATCTAATGCAATCCCCCTATCCATTTATAAAATCACAATCGCAACCAGCCCAAAGTGGCTTTAGTCATGGTGAAGATGGCTGGTGTCTGAATCATGCAAGGTATTACTCTATATCGGATCAGAAAGATAAAGAATCAATAGAAGTGGATCTGACTTACTCTGACTTTGAATAAAAGAGACCTTATGTCCTTGAAGTCTGGAGACAAGTTTCACCAGTGAAACACAGCTTCAATGTAGACGGGGGGGGGGGGGGGGGGGGAGAGGATAGACGATGTTATGGCCCCTTTTAACAAAGAAAGTCTATGTTGTATAAATTCTCGGAGAAAGTACCATGAGAGGAAATTGCGCACATCGCTACGGCCTAAATTTTAATCTTTCCGTGCCTTTGTCCTTATTATGGGGCTTTTATTACGTGGGTAGCCAGGGGGTTGACGCCGTCTTTGGGTATATTTCCACCTATTTCCACCTATTTCCACTTATTCCCACTTATTCCCACTTGACACTCGATATCAACCAATGAACAGGTGCCAATGTATCGTGGAAATGAATCAAAAATCACAAGAACTGAGCTGGGACGATCTCGGGAGTCTGAGACCACGGCAGACATAATTTCGGATCAATGAATTTTCCGTTTTAGTGGCCCTATATTAGAGGGTTCCTTGGATGCTCCCTTAAAGCACTTGTTTCATATATTGAAATTAAATAGTGGCGAATACAATTATCATGTAGTAGTTGATAAGCTTACACCTCTTGGTTCTTTTGGTTCTCTAGTTTTCTAAAGAAGAGGAACAGGAAATGATAGGGATTACTTTGGCGAAGCGAAATTCAATAGATCGGCAGCTCTAGAAGCAGTCCACTTCGAAACTGACTATAATTCTATGGAATATTATTATTAGACAATATCTAACATTTTATGTTCAGGCCTCCATTCCCACCTCGGCTTATACTTCCCCTGGTGTCAAGACCTGTGAGAACTAACATGGCCTCATATACTCCGTAGTAATGGGAAAGCAACATGAATCATACCAAATTACTCCGTACATATAGCTCCGTTAGGATAAGCTTTTAGTTCGTCGACTTTAAAATCCTATTCCTCCTATTTTGGTTTAGTTATATTCAAATAGGACCTTCCTACTTGGGCACTCCGGGGTAACTTGGCATTTATTCCAACTTGCAACCTTGGAAGTGCTTGTAATGAGGCCAAGCTATATAAAAATCGTTTATTGTGACTACGATCTACATTTCACATAAAGTACGGGCTCCTTCATCTTGCTTCAATATTAACTAAGTCTATAATTGCTACCAACAGAGCGGAGTGGCTTTTAGTGTTCCTATGGCAAATGTTTGACACTATAGTGTTGCCTGTTTTTAGTATCTGAACAGGTCATACCACCTGCATAATTCTAGAAAACACCTTGGAAGATACACAAGGTCCATAGAACATAGCACGTCATACTTTTTCTTGAGCGACATCCTTGTCTCCTTGCCTACTCTTGGCCAATTGAGATCGGTGAGATCGGTGAGATCCCTGCTAACAAACACAACAAAGTACAACACACTGTCGATCTTTCATCTCTCCTCGAATAGTTGAACGTCCAACAACACTTAGTGGAGCTTTTAACTCACCCCCGCTTGAGGCGATGCTACCGTTTCCCGGAGCTCCTACGGAGATCACAAACTAAATGCACAATCTCACGCTTTTCCAAAAACTATTGGAAGCATAAAATTGCGCTCTTATGTTGTTTCTGTCGTTTTCCCCTCTTCTGGGGCTATAAGTTCCCCCCCCTCTTCACCCTCTCTGTAATATGTACGTGTAGCCCATTATGCGTCTCTCTTACTGGATTCCATTGCTGCCTGCTGTGGCGGCACTCGCGGTGCCATCGGACGATGGCTTGGAGGCCTTCTTCCGCCGCCAGCTGCCTAACCATGCAACACACGTCAAGACTATCAAAACAGCTAATAATGTCACCATTCGCTATAAAGAGCCGGGTAAAGAGGGTGTTTGTGAAACTACCCCAGGTGTCAAATCCTATGCGGGTTATGTGGACCTCTCACCCACAGAACACACTTTCTTCTGGTTCTTCGAGGCTCGTCATGACCCTAAGAATGCGCCCATTACACTGTGGTTGAATGGTGGACCGGGTAGTGACTCGTTGATTGGATTGTTCGAGGAATTGGGTCCTTGTGGTGTCAACAAGAATAATGAATCTTATATCAACAAGCACTCGTGGAATGAGGTCTCGAATATGCTGTTTCTCTCTCAGCCACTGGGTGTTGGTATGAAGACCTTTCTATTCTCTCTTCTCTTTTTAAATATTCGGCTAATATCATCACAGGTTTCTCCTATGCTGAGAAAGCGGCTGGCACCCTTAACCCTATCACGGGTTCATATGAAGACCCATCCTTTGCAGGCATTGATGGTCGCTATCCAGTCATCAATGCCACCGCAATCGATACAACTGAACTCGCTGCCAAAGCTACCTGGGAAGTCCTGCAGGGATTCCTAGGTGGTCTCCCCAAGCTTGACTCGAAGATCAAATCGAAGAGCTTCAATTTATGGACCGAAAGCTATGGAGGGTGAGTTTACTCTACTACTGTTCAAATATCCGTTGATGTATCATTACTGACTTCTTTCAGACATTATGGCCCCGCCGTAAGTCAACCGCCTATCTAACTCCTATTTCGCTGAAGTTCTAACACTGCCAGTTCTTCGATCACTTCTATGAAGAGAACCTCAAGATTGCCAACGGCACCCATGAGGGCATTCAACTGGATTTCAACACCTTGGGTATCATTAATGGTATCATCGATGAAGGTATCCAAGTCAAGTATTACCCTGAATTTGCCGTGAACAACACCTATGGCATCAAAGCTGTAAGTCTTCAAGTTTGCAATGATATAGTTTCACACTAACACAACATACAGGTCAACGAAACAGTTTACAACTATATGAAATTTGCCAATGAGATGCCAAATGGCTGCCAGGATCAAGTCGCAACGTGCAAGTATACAAACCGCACCTCGCTATCCGACCTCGCACTTTGCAGCGAAGCGACCAGCATGTGCCGAGACAACGTCGGTATGTGAACTATACCCCGACTACATATAGCACCCCCTAAATAACTAAACTAACAAATTCACCAATACAGAGGGCCCCTACTACGTCTTCAGCGGCCGAGGCACCTACGACATCCGCCATCCCAGCGACGACCCAACCCCACCAAGCTACTACCAAAACTACCTCGCGAAAGACTCGGTAATGAACGCCCTAGGCGTCGACGTAAACTACACGCAATCCAACAACGAAGTCTATTTCGCCTTCCAACGAACCGGCGACTTCGTCTGGCCCAACTTCCTCGAAGACCTAGAAGACATCCTCTCGCGTCCCGTTCGCGTCGCCCTCATCTACGGCGACGCAGACTACATCTGCAACTGGTTCGGTGGCGAGGCCATCTCCCTCGCGGCAAAATACAAGCACAGCAAGCAGTTCCAGAAGGCGGGCTATGCGCCCTTCCTCGTCGATGGTGTTGAGTATGGTGAGACAAGGGAGTACGGTAATTTCTCTTTCACTCGTGTCTATGAGGCTGGTCATGAGGTGCCGTATTATCAGCCCGAGGCTTCGTTGCAGTTGTTTAATCGTACGCTGAATGGGTGGGAATTGCCCAAGGGAGAAAAGAAGTTGAAGCACAACTCTGGCTCGACGGGGCCCAAGTCGGCGACTCATACGCAGTCTTCGGTGCCGTTGCCTACGCCTACCAAGGCTTAGTTTTGGCTTTGAGGTTGTGAGAGAGGTCCATAGATCGATCCGAGTATATATTGGTAATATTCAATGACATTGTAGTTTGAGATTACATTATGTACGCATTTAGATAGACAAGTCTCCCATAACCATAGCAGACCTAAGAACACCCCAGATAAAAAAAGCCCCTAGCATCCAGAAAGTAGAGCCACCCAAAATCATGTACAAGATCATTAAAAAACGGAATTCACTGACATTAAGTATTCGTTGCGACCCGTGGCGCAGTTGTGGCCCGGGATTTTCGCGAGTATATAAAAGCGACACGCCTCGTAAATGGACATTTCGTCACACCATGGTGAGAATAAAGAAGGTGATTAAATCGAATATTGACCGCGTGGTGGTACATCTGATCGGTGGGAATTGTTGATTCCCTCGCCGACAATTCATTATTATTTGGTCGTAGTCTCCTCGTGAGAGTCGCGGAGAGTATCGGTAGGAGTGTGCATTTCTGCATAAGGTTTATCCATCTCAGACATTTCATTGGCATGGCCTAGGACTTCGGCGGCGGTTTCGTCGGAGAATCGCAGATCGTCCTCGACGGCAGTGCTGTCCTTGACCTTGAAGAATATCACAGGTGAGGCAATAAGCATACTGCCGACTAGCATACCCCAGCAACTGGCAAATTCGGTCATATATGGGGTCTCATGTGCATCCAAGCTGAAAATTTGTTAATTATGAAAAGAGGAGAGGAAAAAGAGCAGGGGTTGCTTACCTCCACATTCCAGCAGCGCCAGCAGACTGGATGCCCTTGTAGAAACCAGCAAAGTTGGCCAACTTGCGGCTGTTGTTGGAGAGAGAACCCATGTACCAATAAGTGCAGGTCTGGAAAGCAGCATCGTAGAATCCGTAGAACATGTACAGAAACATGGGTCCGATGTAGCCGCTGTCGGCGAAATCCATGCCGAGACCCTTGGTTTCCCGGGTATATTTCTTCTGGAATGCATATCCTCCACCCCAGATACCCATGGTGATAGCGAGTAGAATGCCAAAGTTGAGCTTGGCGCGCCACGGACGCGAAAGGCGCTTCAAATCCAACAACTTGCCGAAAACGAACGCACCCACCATCTGCATCAGCCAGTACAGAAGACTGTTCAGGGCT